AACTATTTTTAGATTGGTTTGGTTCTTCCAGGTAGTACAATCCTGCTTTCTCCTTAGCAAGTCCAATCTTCTTCCCCGATCTTTGGTCCTAAAATAAGCAATAAGTAGGGTTAAATAAGGCTTGGCAATTATGATCATTGGTAAGTTTCTGTATTGATATTAAATTTGTGGATAATTGTGGTACGTGCATGACATTTTTCAGGGTGAGTAAGGGAGATAATCTGATGTCTCCTTGGCCAACTACCGTGGTAAGAGAACCATCAGCAGTGATGATTTTCTTGTTGTTTGGGCAAGGAGTATAGTTTATGAGGTGGGTAGGTGAGTGGGTCATGTGATCTGTGGCTTCTGAATCAATTATCCATAATTCCTTTAGATGATTTTTGGAAGCACTTAAACTAAAAGAAATTGGAGTCTTACCTGAGAGTGCAAGTGAAGAAAAAGATTTTTGATTTTTCAAGAGATACCAGGAGTCGTTTTAATTTATCAATATCTTCTTTATTGAATTCTCCAAGGCTGGACTGTGCTTCTGGTTTACTTATAGTGTTATTGGCATGTGATGCACTCCTTGTTTCACCCTTTTGATTCCACTCTTTGCTGAGGGGTTTTCCATGTATTTTCCAGCACGTTTCCTTTGTGTGTCTTGACTTTTTGCAATAGCTGCACCAAAGTGAAGAATCTTTACCCTTCTCCTTCCATGACGATTCTTTATTCATCACCATTGCTGAGCTTTCAACTGCCTTTGGTTCTAACATCACTCCTCGTCGGCTTTCTTCTATGCGGATGAGGGAAATGGTTTCATTGAGTGATGGCGTCTCCTCCTTGCCAAGAATTTGAACCCTAACTTGATCAAATTCTGCATTTAGTCCTACAAGAAAATCATAAACTATATCTTTTTCAATAAAGTTTTTTAGGATCGCAGTATCTTCCGAACATCTAGTTTCTATGCACCCATAGTGATCCAGTTCTTGCTACATATTTTGTAGAATAGTGGCATACTCCGTCACGGTCTTACTCCCTTGCTTTGTGCTTCCAACTTTGATTTTAATTTCAAAAATTTGGGCCGCATCTCGAGCTTTGGAGAAGGTCTGTCTGGTAGCATCTCATATGTCCTTTGCAGTTGAAAGGAACATAAATGTATCGCTAATTTCGGGAGTCATGGAATTCCACAACCATAACATAATTATGGAGTCTGCTTCATCCCAAGCCCCAAAAATAGGATCTCCTTCTTTTGGTCCTCCTCCAAGGAGGTGATGTATTTTCCCTTTCCCCTTCAAGTAGGTCTTCACAAATTGAGACCACTTTAGGTAGTTCTTCCCATTTAGATGATAGCAAGGTTGCATGCTTTGAAAGTCCCCTCGACCTTGGTGCATCACAAAATCCTCAAGTTGGTCAGTGTTTGAAGAGGAGTTGATTTCTGACATTTTTTATAGTAATGAAAACTATCAATTTGATTTTTGGACAGCAATGAAGGCTCTCAAAATTTTTCTAATCGACAATAAAGGTCGATTTTTTTTTCTTCTGTTCGACAATGAAGGTCGATTTTTTTTTAGCTACAAAAAAAACACAAAAAGAACCGATGGAGCCTTAAAGAGTCTCAGATTGGACTAGGGCACGTGCGCAATCCCCTTCAAGTCACACGCAGGCGCGGCTTTATCCCGCGAATCGCACGAGTGGATCGGGCTTCCGATCGGCTTCAGCTGGGTCGTGCGATCGGAAGTGAGGATCGAGCGAGGTGCTCCTTCGACGATCTTCCCTCCCTGTCGGATCGGGATGCTCACCGTCCGCTTCTTCGTCCGTCGGCTCGGGAGAAGACAGCCGAAGTCTCGATGACTTTGGCCTTCCTCTCGGATCGGAAGTTCCGATTGAAGCTTCGACTCCGTCTCTTCCGTCCGGATCGGCACAATCACGTCCGAGCTTCTTCTAATTCTCTTCCTCTTTCGACGATCTAGGATCGTTCTCCAACGGCAATTAAGGCCGTTAGCTCTGATACCATGTTTAAACTGAGAATTTGATAGGGAAAAGCTTGAAATTATTCATTAAAATCTTCCCTATTTATAAATCTATACAGGATATCCTAATGAGGAAATAATAAATTGCAGATCTAATACATAAATAATACATAAAAATATTTCCTAAATTTGCTCCTTCACTATGGCGTGATCCATGAGAGTATCCCACGGATTGATCTTTGTGTCTGTCGGATCCTTTGCACTGCGAACCGCTGGATTTCAACAGTATATAACATAAACTTTTATAGATTGAACTAATTCATTTTATTGTGCAAATCATAACATGTAAATTTTTAACCTTACATTCATTTTCCTTTCTTTCATTCTTTCCTTCTTTCCTTTTATCATTTTCATATGCAAAACAAATGCAAATATGCTCATGTTAAATGTATACAATCATCCCGGAAGTACCAGTATTCGTACTGATCAGGTACACAGTCACATTTTTTGTCATTTCTTTTACCATTTGGCTCCGAATAACCCCATTACAATTTGGTTTTTACAAGCCCCATTACCATTTGGCTTTTGCAAACCCCATTACCATTTATTTGGCACTTTCGGATCAACATGCACATGAAATTATTATTTAATTTAAATCATTCAATTATGCTCAATTGTTCTTCATAAATTTCATATATTTTAATGCTCAAGTGTTCTTCATATGCTTTATATGCTTTCCAATTAATGTATAATATAGAAAAATGAAATTTGCAGGGTATTCTTTAAATCATTGAATCTAAAACATGAATTAACAATAAAATAAATGTATAAACTTTATTTAAGCATAAAAAGAATTAAGCACTTATAAATTTAAATGAGGTATGAACACCTACCTTAATGACTTTAAAATAGACTTCTATGACGTAAGATGTCGCTCCGGCACTTATCAATCCTCTAAACAGTCAATACCTAACATTGCACATAAATTCAAATCACATTACATAATACTTAATTTTTTTAAATTTAATTAGTATTTTCGGATTTAATAAAATCTTAATTTTTGAAAAATCACAAATCTTCAATTTCATCAAAATATTGTTCCAAAATTAATCCTTAACATATATTTATAGTTATATTACTAATTTTCACATTTAATTAATTATATAATTATAAAAATAAAATTTTCATTAAAAAATCCAAATTCATGTTTTAAAAACATTCCTAACGTCCTTAGGAATAATTTTTGTAAAAATATTTTTAAGGAATTAACATTTTTGTGAAAACCCTAACTTTTCAATTTCCAAAATTTCCCTTAAACTTTTCATTTCTATCATTAAAATGCTCTCTTAATCATTCCTTATTGGTTTCTTAAAGAGATTTTGGGAGAAATATATTTTTTAGAAAAACCCTAGAAATTCAATCTCAAATAAATTAAGATTTAAAAAGATCTGATTTAAAATAATCGTACCTTAAGACTCCTTTCGTCGTCCTCTTCGATGTGGACTAATTTTCTCACCGGAAGAAAGCCGCCGAAGAGGAACCCGTTGCCCCCAAGCAGTCCGCCCGTCCGCCCTTGTTCGCTCGTCTCGCTCGGTTTGGCCGAAAGAAGAGAGAGCGGGGTCAGTTTGCTCATTTAGAGAGAAGAGGGGTTTGCCGAATGTCCCTTTTACCTTCACTTAAGTAAATTTGGCTTAAGGGATAAGTAAGGGTATTATGGGTATTTAGAGACTTCAAACATATTTAACTTCTAAAATACTTGAAATAAACTACAAGTTCTATACATCAAAATTATCAGAATTTTGGGTAGAATGTTATAAATTTATTTTCATTAAATTCTGTTAACTTCAAAAATTTCACTTAAGTCTCATCGCGACGCATCGATAAGCGTGCGACGACCTACGAACGTCGTTTTCGAGTATTACAGGATAAAGTCCATTACGGCTTGGATCCTGTAACAGAATTTTGTTGTTCTTGATATCATTGACAATAAAACCAGAAGCATCAAATGAAATAGTGAGATTGTTGTCTTTGGTTAATTGATAAATGGAGAGAAGGTTGTGAGATAGAGTAGGAATGTGTAGAATTTGAGTTAACTGAAGCTTACTGTTGGGGATCGGTAGCAGCTCTGCTCCTATATGAGCAATCGGGAGTGAGCTGCCATCTCCAATGTGTATAGCCTCTGTTCAATTGTATGTGATGGGATCACCAAGCATTAGATTCTTTATATCATTTGTAAGATGGGATGTAGCTCCAGAATCTAAAGACTAGTCTGGGTTAGAATTATCATTTGTTGCTGTGAGAGCTGTGTTGATATTCTGCGATGGTGGGGTGTAATTTATGTTGAACCTGTGCCAACACGTGTTGGCAGAATGTCCCTTATTATTGCATATCTGGCATATAGACATGGGTTGGCTATTAGGACGAGTATTCTGGTTGATGTATCGTCCTCTACCTCTTCTTCCTCTGCCTCTGTTGGAATACAATGTTGTGTTCTGATCTAGGAAGGTATATTGCTTAGCTGCTTTAGTGTTTAAATTGATTTCCTCACTTATTAGAAATGAGTGCAGGTCATCAAGACTGATTGGATGCATCATTGGTCTAATTGTACTTTTGAAAGACTGGTATGCTAGAGGTAAACCGTTCAATGTGTACATGATTGTCTTCTTTGTCAATTGTGGCTCCTGCACTTGCAATCTTATCAACAAGAATCTTGATTTCATTTAGATATTCTGACATTGATTTTTGTTTCATTAAAATGTTGTGTAACTCATTTTTTGAGCTGAATAACTCTAGATCTGTTGGAAGCTTGTAGCCTTCTTTCTATTGTTATCTAGATTGCAACTGTGGATTCTAGATGAAGAACGTATGGTAGAATTGCTGGTGTGATTGTGGAACAAATGACTGCTACTAGGTTCTGATCAATAAGACCCATTCCATATATTTGGAGTTGATTGCAGATGATCCATCTTGTGCTTATTGTAGACGAATTGGTGGAGAACTATTGGGTTCTATGAAACCATTTGCTTTCAAAAGTTTGATAACTTGAGATTTCCATATGGGGTAGTTATCACTAGATAACTGGGTGGGTACTATGTTTTTGATGTTTGAAATAACAAATTTCAATGATGCAAGTATGATACAAGGTTCTGGAGGTGAATTTGTGGCTATATTTCCAGTTTGTGAAGAAGATGATTGATCCATGAGAGGATTTTGATTTTGCTTACCTCTCACCTTGATCTGCTTCTTAGAATTGATTTCTCAGTTGTCTTCTTCAAACTTCCCGCTCTGATACCATAAAGAAACGACAAAGTTAGTGGAGAAATGATCTTATTATCTTTGTCTCATTGCTTACATCGTGATTAGCTTTAATAGCTATTTATAGATGTGTAATGATTATACATGTGGCTGATATTTATTTATGATTGTATGGCTGTAGTTTGTTTGCTTAGCTGTATTTCTTGTTCCTCTGGATTGCGTCTGAACTCGTCTCTGCTCTTATTCTCGTCTGTTCTTGTTAGAACCTCAAGAGATTAATTCCACTTACTTCTGTTGATCTTTTTTTTTTTTTTTTTCCTTTTCCGAGTTTTGAGCCAAGTACTTCATAGACGGAAGCTTAAAAAAGTTACTCCCTCTAGGTTTGAATAAAAATGCCTCAGGAGTTCATGATTTCTCCCAAAAGCCAATTCTTTCAAGGCAATCTAACATTTTTTAGGAGTTGTTTGGTTCAATGTTATCTATATAATAACGTTATTCAAATAAAATATTATCAAAGTGACACATTAAAACACAGGACAAAGGAGCAATCAAATACCTGCATAGCAAGAGCGTCCATGTCCGCCCTAAGAGCAAACCGGGGTCCCTCGCCTGACCCGATCGATGCGATGACCCCTGTCTTGGCAATCGGCCAAGTGTACTCAACTTCGAGGGCATCCAGTTCCGATCTGATCAGTTCGCTAGTTTTGTACTCCTTGAAGGCGAGCTCCGGATGCTGGTGGATTCTCCTCCGTATCCCCTTCAGCCAATCGAAGAACTCTGGAGCTCTCGCCTCTTGCAGGAGAACTTCCGCTCTGGAACACGGCATTGCTGTTGTGGTAACTGCTGGGGCGCCACATGATGGCGGAGGAAAGAAAGAGGAGAAGAGCAGATAGAAACTGAAGAGAAAGCAAGAGAGAGAAGCAGCCATGGAGAATTGAAGAAAGAGCAGTAGTTAATACTGCAGAAGTAGTTAATCCTGTGCGTTAAATTCTGATAATTATTGGGAAATTTTTAAAAGGAGCATGATAATTATCACAATTAATAAAATAAATAGATTTATTTAAAAATTTAAGAATAAGCTGATTCGTCAAAATAATTGAGGTCAAATTTTCGGAAGGAGCGTAGTTGTAGCCATATTTAGCGGAAGCAGCGTGAGAAGATTTAAATTTTAAAAGGAGCAAATTCGGCAAACGGCTTGGCGTACTGTAGAATGCGCTGTCTTGAAGAATGCGCCGTTCATTAGAATGCGCCGAACTATACGGCGTATTCATTAGAATGCGCTAAAACGATTAGCGTAATCAAGCTATGAATGCGGTAAATTTCCCATATCCATTTTCTTTTGTCGTTAACGGATCCTAGGTTTGGAAATCATGCTGATTGGGTGGAAATCAATGCGTGGGTGGAAATCAATGCGTGACATTCAATTAGAGCGGGTATATGTTAGTGATGAGTTGAAGAGGGGTTTGCTTCAGCTTTTAAGCATTCCTTAGAGGAAATACAGGATGGTTTGTACTTGTTATTTTTTTTAGGTTTTTTTTTTTTTTTTTGTACAAATATTGGTTCAGTTTATATATAGATCATAAGGTTTTTTATATGTGATATGACAATAGTATAATGTATGTACTAATTTACATATTCGTTTTAGTCATGACGAAGTAATACTTGTTTTGTATTGTAATTTTTTTGTTTTTTGCTCCTGATTTTGATTTCGAAAGTTTCCAACTTGATTTTGCTTTTTGCTTTGAGATTAGTGTCCGATCAAGATAATTTTTGTACGAAGTATCAATATTTATAGATTTTTATTATATATTTTTAAAATTTTAGAAATATTATTAAATGCTCATATATTTATATTATATTATGTTAATTTTATTAACTATTAATAATATTATTATTTATTACATTATTGGATTCGACCAGTCGAATCATGAACTTGTCCTTCTTCTAGCGCGTTATCTGGCCTGATTTTTATAACCTTGCTCATTTATTACTCTAAGAAAATACTTAGGCCCAATATCATCAGCCCATTAAGCTACTCAGAACAACTCCCAATGCACCACAGTGTTTCTTTTTTTTTTTCCAAAATTTAGATTCTTATTTAAAAATTATAGGCCAAATTTTCAGAAGCAGCAGGTTCCAAAGTTTTTTTATGGGAAACAGCGTGAAGCAGGAAAAAATTAAGAAAGAGCTAAGACGCCAAATAGTTTGGCGTACTCCAGAATCTGCGATTCTATTTAGCGCATTCTAACGGTTCAGCGCATTTCAGAATGCGTGGAACTGTTCAGCGCATTCTATGAATTGTTCTTCATGTTTCGGTTTTGCGAAATTGGCTGTTGTGACGTGAAATTCCGTGCATTCCTGTAATGATTGTAGAGCATTATTCGATATGATTTCACAATGTTAATGTTTTGGTTTTCAAATGGCAGCATCTAATTGTTGGGAAATATATTTTTAATTTTTTTATAATACAATATATCAGTTTATCATTATTATATTTTGGAATTAAAAAAAAAAAGAAAATTCGAATTATAATGGCATAAGTGCTATGAACCCATAATTATTTGCAAAAAGGTAAGTCCAAATTTTCGGAAGGGGCGTAGTTGTAGCCATATTTAGCGGAATATTTATTGGAATATTTTGAATGGATTAATGTATTGGAAATATTTTTGCCCAAAAAAAATATATTGTAGGTTAAATTATTTTCTACTCCAAAATGGCACAAGATTGGAGTGGATTAATTATTTTCATTATATTTTATTTTCCTTTCAACTTTTAGTAATTAATTATAGTTAATATGGTTATTAATTACGAAGCAAATGTACCTTAATATCAATATACTTTAAAATAAATATTAAAGTTAGGTAAATTATGAGATTTAGGTAATGAAAATTGAGAGAAAATGGTGAAATAGTTATTAAAATAAGTTTAAAATGTTTTTTTTTTTAAATAAGGTGAATATGATTTAAAATTTAATTTTAAAAATAGGATTAAATTATAAAATTTGTGTATTTCTATTTAAATTGTTATAAACATACTATGAACGTCAATTTAATTTTAGAAGCTATATTAAAATAAATTATATATGAAATTATGACAAAGTATTTAATATTTGGACGAATAAATATTTATTCATCATCTTCTTCTTCATAAAATGATTGGAATGGGAATATTGCGAAAAGTAATTAACATCAGTTATTGAAAATACATGATAAGTTCAGTAATAGAATGAAATACATATCATTAGAATTAGAAGAAAGGTAAAGAAATTATAATTACGAGCGGCTTAGTACAATGCGCATACGCGCTTGGATTTGGGTTAATGTAGGACAACATAAGAATTTTTCTGTGAACTGCTTTTGGATGAGGTGCCAATCTTTGATATTTAAGAACTCCTTCTTCTTTTTACCATCTATAATATTCATCTCTTGATATTTTTCTGATAGAAATGCATCTTGATAAGTATGTCACTCTTTGTAAAGTATACAATGTTGCACATCAGTTATTGGATTCACAACATTGACCACAACAGAACCATCCTTTTGTTTTGTGATTTTACTAATTCTTGTCTTTAAAGTACTTATAGGAGCAAAATGACCATTATGATCTCTAAACTTTTGTCGTACAAATTGCCAGCCCAAATCAGTAATGGTTTCTCCATTCACATACATGGGATGACGACATTTGATAACTTCATGATATGTATCCCATAAACTATCGTCTTCATACCATGACCATTCATGCAGACAACATCGAAAAAATTCATTTGATCTTGATTTCTCCTCCAAGAATTCATCCCTGGGATACGACATACATTTTGTTAATCGAATAGTACCATCATAGATCAACTTCTTTCTTGGAATAATATGAAGGAAATCCCTTGATGGTGACCGCTTTATTGATAAGCTCCTTGATGATGATGACATTTGTAGCTGAATATTTAGTATATGCAATTTAGTTTGTCATTAAGAAAATAATATTAAATGAATTATTTTAAATAAAAGATTTGAAGAACACGAGCGAAATTAATATAACGAATTACAAGTTAAGCAACAATCACGAACATGAATATTAATCATCAACATAACAACATGAAATACATTTAAAAGTTATGTTCGAACGAGAAAATAAATAACAACATGAAATACAATTTTAAAGCACGGTGATAGGAGTAATGCTGAAGTTACTAGCCAAAATTGGGTGAGTACATGTATGTGGAGGTCCACAAGTCGATATTTTCCATAACCCACCTAACCTTTTACTTTGTGCAGCATGTAAGCGCCAAAGGCAGGGACGATCAGGAGCCTGATGATGAGCACAAATGACACTCAATCGGCTTTTGTTGGATGTTGAATTTATAAATTGAACATTATGAAGTATCGACCAACCATTAACTGCGACTTGCAAATCTATTTTTGTATGAAATATCTGACCTTCATATAACTCTACTGGAGTTGTTGTTTGTAACGAGTCAACAGTGCTAACACAAGGAGCATCAAAATTTTCATCATCATCCCACTGTTGAGTTGTCCAAACAGTTACACCTGTCAATATTGGACCCGACCCGAAAACCCGACCCGAACCGACCCGAAAATTTCGGGTTTGGGTCAACCCGAATCCGAACCGGGTCGGGTTCGGGTTAGAGATTTCGACCCGTTTGTAAAACCGGGTCGGGTTCGGGTTGACCCGGAAACCCGAAATCGACCCGGTTTGACCCGTTTTTAATTAATTTTGGAGGATTTTAATGAATTTTTATGAAATAAGTAAATAATATTTCAAAAAATTATAAATATTATTGCCCAAATTAAATTAATTTTAATTTATTTTAAATTAATTGAAGTAAATCTACCCTTAATTTGATTTAAATTTAAATAAAATGAATTAAATAAAAAAAATTTAATTAAATATACCCGAAGCAGGTCGGGTCGGGTTGACCCGGACCCGAAGCGGGTCGGGTTCGGGTTCGGAAAACCAACCCGTTTGCAAAAACGCGGTCGGCGGGTCGCGGTTGAACAGTGTCGGGTCAATTTCGGGTTGCGGACCCGAAGCCGACCCGTGAGCCCCGTTTTTTGAAGGTCTACGAACAGTTTCGACAAAATCGTTATTTGATGTTCATGCCATCAATCTCATCACGATTTTGTGTTGCGGTTCTGCAATGAACTTTGTCCTTTACAATCCGTATAGGTAAATTGCTCCATAGGTATGTTCGAGTCTTATAACGGGCTACCATCATTTGATGAATTAGTACTATCAACTATTTCATCGTTTCATATCTTCATCTTCATTTTCTGAATTACGCTCATGAAAGGCATTGAGGGGTTGATATCTTTCTTGCTACTGTATTAATTAGAGGTGTGTTGTAATATGAATGTTCCCCTTGACTTTGTCTAGGTTGAACTCTTGGAAGCTGCCCTATTGGACGACCATCTAAGTTATCTTCAACATTTTCTCGAACATCTCTAACACTACCCATAAAGGTTTCAGAATGTGGCGAGTGGGCCTAACACAAAAGTTAAGTTAGGTTGTAAGGACAAGTTAAGTCAACAGTCAGAAATACAATGGTTGATACGCAACATGTAAGCTTCAACCGGTGGTGCAGCAACTCGATGGGTGAAATTTGCTCAACACTCCAATACACACAAACAGCTTGTGTTCTAGCCTCCATCACATGTACTCACAGAACACCATCATCATAGTCGGTGACATGAATCGCACAAAATCCACCATTATTTCGAGACGACATTGTCAGGTTAATAGTGGTTGTTGTTGAATTTATTCTAAGTGCACGCATAATTCTTCTTTTTAACATTTCAAGGGAAATATTATCATCGATCAGGAGTGGTCTAATCGTCCCGCCAATATAACTTGGTGTGAATTCGGCCGAAATTTGTAACTCTCCATTGAAATACAACAATAATCGAGACATACTATCAACATAAGAAAAGTTATGTAATCAATACCTATGTCTTATCAAGATTTATACCCACAAATACAAATCTAAAATCATATCTCAATGATTTTTTAACAAAATTTCATCTATTGATCATGATACTAATATTATGACTGATACTAATATTCAGTGGCGGAGCCAAAATTTTTGTTCAGGGGGGCACTGTTTGGGACAACTTTCTTACTGTTTTTTAAAGCATATAGGCACTCTTAGCTCTTAGAAATAATTATCTATAGCTGTTGTGACTTCAAAATTGTATTCCATGAATATTATCAACAAATTTATTTTAAAAAATATATAGGCACATCAAATTTATTTTTGCTGCTTTATGTTTTAAATATATCTAACGATTTAAGCTTCGTTGGGACAGCTTTCTTACTATTTTTAAAGCAATTTTTCAACTGAATTTTTTTTTCAACTAAAAAATTTGTACTAAAAAATAGTAAATCGTCCCAAACAGGACCTTAAACTATATTATTAATTTGTGCATGATTAGATAGATTTAAGAAAAAGTAACTTAATTTAATCTTCTCTTTATATCTCTTTTTTGGGATTTTAAACAATTGAACCTAATAACTCTCTCTCTCTACCTTATAACACACAAGGTTAACATATAAATCAATATAAAGCTAAGTACCAAAAAAAGTACCGGTACAGTTTTTTTTTATTTTTTTTGGGAAAACCGATACAGTGATAAAGCATGTTAGAATGAAATTCGCAAGTTTTTCCTTCTTCGTTTTCTACCATTTCCTTTCCTCTCATACCTGCTAGATCAATCATAGATATAATTAATTTTTTTAGGGGGGGAAACGTGCCCCCCCTAACCCCCCCTCCCTCCACCCTTGCTAATATTGCTCACTATCATTAACAAAAATTAACCTTTCAATCATGAAACTAATATTATTACTAACATTATTTTTGTTGACTATTAATGATATCGTGATTCATTATTTCTTCAATATTAACCACGGAGTGTGACAATTGTTTAAAAATATTATTTTTGTTCACTATTAATGATATCTTGATTCATTAATTTGGTTCACTTTTAATATTATATATTATGATACGGGGTGAAAATATGTTCAAATTAATAGTTTTCATAAATATTAAATTTGCTAAATTCCTAAATTAAAACATTGTACATAACTTTTTTTAAATGTAACTAGAATTTATTTTTTAATCCAAATAAACAGTAAGGGAAAAAAAATTATTATGGAATTTTTATTTTAATAACATAACAAATTCTTATATATTTTTTATAAATCAAAATATTTATTTTTGTAAATACAAGTTGATTTTTTAAATAAAATTATATTTCTTACCCATCATTTTTTAAAATTGTAATGATAGTAACAATATAAGCTTTTTTTGTGACTTCGTTCACCCAAATATGGCAATATTTTGGTAATATTATAAGAAAAAAAGTAGAAAATATTTTAAGAGAAAAAATTGTGCATGCTTGTATAATAATAAATTTTTTAATATAATTTAAATATTAAAAAATTATAATTAAAACTAATCTAGGGTGTTAAATAGGCCAACCTAGCTGAGTAGAGCTCTGCCCAACTATCTATCTTCATTGGGAGTTGAGGAGTGCTTGCTCATCACTCAAACTATTAAATTCTATTGAGTATGTGTATCATTGATCTGCTAAGTTCTATCCAAATATAACTAGACTAAATCAAAATGAAAATTAAAAATTAATCTTTCTTCTAATGTAAATTACTTAATGGTTTCCATAAAAAAAAGGGCTTATTTACTTATTATCTAATAAAAAAATGAAATAAATGGAGTAGGATGAATAATACTATTTTGAGTTAACTTATGCTTGTTCAAAATAGGATTTCGTTCCACTTAACTCTACTAACTTTCATCAACTAAAATGCTTCAGAAATTATGTTAGATGGTTTTAGAGCTTGCATAATAAATGAGGTATTTCATAAATGGGGTATTAAAATAATAATATATAGCATTGTCATTAAATTTTTTTAACCAATCTTAACTTAACAGTAAGTTCGAACAAATTAGCTTAAAAATATAGAACACCAAAAATTTTAGATCAGCCAATGCAAACCAAATTTAAAGATTAGCTCAACCAATATCTCAAATCATAAAGATCGGCAACCAAATTTTGCAAAATTAAAGCTACTCTAAACAACTAATTTAAATAACACAAACAATTAAAGGAAAATACAAACAAATCTATATTTAGCCAACAAATGTTCTGAAGTAACACAATCACATAATTATTGGTGATACAAATCAAATCTAACAACACCATTCTACTGATATTCCAACTGAATGTGAACAACAAAAACGGAAATTGAAGAATAAATTCCGACATAATCAACTTGCTTGCTTAAATAAAAACTCAACTGCCCTATGCTATAAATCTCCCTATATTATTACAACATTAACATAAAACCTTAGAAAATAAACAGCTAATAAAAAACCATACCTTCTGAGCTTTAACACCGAAATTTTGAGAGGAACTTCGCTTGAGGAGGAGGAGTGGTGTAAACGAGAACGCAGCCTGCCCTTTTAAAGCCGGAAGTTCAACCATTTCCGTCATCAATGATCAGCTCCCAACCACTCATATTCAACGACCAGCATCAATTTCACCATCTTCTCAACTACTTTCGCGGATAAACCGGATCTTGCCCCCGCTAAAAAACAAAATCCCCTCATTTTCCGGTCGCTGCCAGCGGGATGGGTTGAAGTTTCTGAGAAATACGCTATACCAAACCGCACAATCTACATAATGCACTATTTCATAAAGCGCATTCAATGAATGCGCGTTTCATTAAGCGCATTCAATGAATGCGCCGTTTCATTAAGCGCATTCTTTGAATGCGCTAAACTGTACGGCGTATTGGCTGCTTCTCAAATTTAATCCTTGTCGCGCTCCTTCTGCTAAATTCCACACCCAATTCGGTCCTTCTGAAAATTTGGCCAAAATTATATTCAGTGTTTCAGTGGCACCTCGTAAAAGGAGCAATGAAATGAAAATCAATCAGTGTTCAGACATTAGTTTTTTTATTATATGCTATTTTTTATCATGTTAAGCTAATAATCATAAGTATAAATAAATGTGTATTTAAATACAGACAAAGATGAGAAGAAACTTTACTTACACATCTTAGATAAATTATTTCGTATGAAGTTCAGATGAAAAGAACAGTACGAACACGTGAGTATACACACTGTGTACATATTTGTACATAGTGTGTATCAATTTTTTGTACACAGTGTGTACATTCACAGTCCTGACAATCGCACGAAATAATTTCTCCACCTTTTAACTATTTCTTATCATTTAATTCTTATGCTATCAAAATGTAATAATTTATTTTATATTTATATATCATTAATTGAATGTGGTGAATATTTTAAAAATAATTATATATTTAATTGATTTTGAAAATATGTTATTTACTATAATATTGTATTTTCATGACATTAGAAGCTCCTATATATATAAAATTAATTAATACACGAGAAATCATCGATATGTTCGAAAAATTCCGCCCATTTGTCTGTCGGTTCGCCCCGATGAGAGCGGATTGCTCCATTCCAGTATGATGTTCCTCCGAGTCCGTCTCCTCTCGCCTTTCACTCTCAATGCCCATTTCTCTCCTTCATTGTCCTCTCTTTCATCTTCATCTAAGATCTGCTCCGATCAAAACCCTAGCTGCACAGATCGCTCCTTAGGCTTCTTCTATTCCTGGAAATCCGCGGTTCCCTTTGCTTTGTCTCTCAGCCGCCGACGGAGCGGCTGTGGGTTTCTCCCATCGAGGTGCGCCGTTCGTTTTTGCAGGGCGTCTTCTGGAAATGTGAGTCGCGAACCCGAAGTGGGCGGTGACGACGACAGCGATCAATACATACAGGCCTTGCTTCTCGTTCCAGGTTTTATTGCTATACATGCATTTTCCTTTTTCCTGGTTGTCGTGTCACTTCATAGAGCAGGAATTTGGTGCATACTTAACATGTTTATTTGGGAATTAAAAGGACTTGGATAAGGGTTGTGCCAATTTAGAGATTGTAAGCTATCACGGATTGCAATTTAGCAAGATAGCTATGTGCGGAATCCAGGAATATTTGATTGTGCTGAAATTTTGTTAAATTTTGAGAATATTAATTATTATTGGGCATGCTAGTGATCCTCGTTTTAATTCTTGTTTGATATGCTTGCCCTTGGTAGCTCATCTTTGAAATAGGGAATGTAAAACCGAATGTTTCAAGAGAACTTGCTACTTTTACATCTCATAGCTTGGTTTAAGGAACAGATCCGACAAACAAGTCATACTATTGCTACATATTTTGGTTTGATATATGAATTCTGATGGACTTTATAGCTTCAGATCTCGAAGGCAACAGTTTATACCATCTGAGATACTGGATTATAATAAGCATACGTTCTTTGTTTTGGTCGTCTAAGTATTCAAATAAAAGTCTTGTGGACTTTCTGATAATCAAGGAGACCATTGAACTTCTTTATTATGGTTGTTTATAAACTAGTGCTTTAATTAGAGGGTAGATATATTTACATTTGAATACGTGCTGTATGTATTATAATGTAATGTATGATATTTAATTTTTAATTTTCTATGCTTTGACACAACTTTGATGTTAACCTCATATTCCTTACTCCTAGTAACCATTTCATTAGCAATTCTTTTGGTTTGAAGAAACCCACATTTTTTGAATATGGCTTGAAAAGAAAACTGAAAGTTTACAATTGATGGTAATGTGATGCAGAATCAGCACAATCATTGGTTATTTTCTACACAAATCATCGCCATGGGCCTATGCAAAGTAGTTTTTTCATCACTTTTTAATATATTTCATATTAAATATATAATAAGAGCTCATCATACATCTATTCTATATAAAGAGCGCCCTAGATTTTTTATGATTTAGTTGAAGGATATTTTAACAGATTATGATAGCTTGAATTCTTCTCTCTTGCTCCCCCCGCTCTTTGGGATGCCCCCAACCCCTCTCACTCTTCTATATCCCTCTTAGATTTATGCACCACTTCTCCCTCACTCCTCTTTTCCCTAGGATTGTTTAATCATTCCCCCAGATTCATAAACATCAACAATCATTTTGCTGCATTAGTTCTAGATGATTTGGTATTAGTGACTAAAGATCCTCTCATTCATCTCCATGTTGGGGCGTCATGATTTTTATGTCATGGAGGTGAGAGTCAGAAATAGTTCATGACACATGCGTACGTCTTCTTCATCAACATTCTCTCAATAAGTTGGGTATCAACCATCTCAGATGGTTTTGGCGAGGCTTTTTATAGAGGAAGGTGATTTGGTGGGAGTGTTCAATCGGGAGAAGAGATAGGTTGCGATTGAATTCGCTTCGTAGGTTTCAACAAGTGATTTCTTAACTTTGTGAGCGAATATAGGTGAGAGATGTTAGTTGATTGTTGTGAGGTTGGATAGTGAGAGAGGAGGTAGATAGGACATTTTCAATTCAAACCACTTGTGTCGCGTATGCAATAAGTTTGGTTATGAGTAACATGGTTTGGTGAGGGTTTAGGTGATGTGTTCGGATGCAAATGTTGAGGATGCGATAAGCACAATTTGTAAGCCTCACATGATTTGTTTGGGAGGTGTGGTTAGGGTAGGCATGAATTACAGATAAGTTGTGACTAGGTGGAAATAAGGATGAGGAGAAATGGTTTAATGGGTTAATGGATATTAACGTGACATATTAAGAGATTTAATACCCTTCTTCCTCATTGTTATAATTATTGGAATTTTGATTAAATTTTGAATTAATCATTAGACTTTTACTTGAAGATAAATTGATAGATATGTTAATATTAAATTCATAATTAACTTTATTTAGAAATTATAAACTTAATTAAATCAATCTGGCCCTAAATCCTTGTTGTGCTAAAATCTCATCATGCTATTTGACATGCAAACACAACTTAAAATACTATTTGAACTCATTAATTTAATTTGGTTTTAATGTATGTTATTAGGCTTTAGCTTACTAATGAATTGCTTATTTAGCTTAGTTAAAGACCACTGCTGTAATCAACATGTTATAGGCTTTATTAATTAGGCTATGTTTTGAGGGCTAATGTCCTTATCGGTTTGGTTATGCTTAAACTTAGTATTTAGTAATCAATTCACGCCAAATTTAGATGTATAACTCTTAATGAATTTGATTAAATAATAATTAGGGGAATTAAGATTTGACTTATGTTAAGAAAAGTAGAGGTAGACCTAAAAAGACTTGGTTAGAAAATATTAGAAATGATATTTCTTTATTAGATTTAAATGAGGATTTGACTTTTAACATGACACAATGACGAAAAAGGATTCATGTAGCCGACCCCATGTAGTGGGACAAAGGCTTGATGTTGTTGTTATTGTTGTAGGGGAATTAAGATATTGGTAAATTCAAGATAAGCCTACCCTTAGAGGTTGAGAATTTCATTTTAATGGTTAACCCTAATTGGGTTTCATCTGGATTAATTGTGCCCTTGGTTTATTATGTGGCATTAATTAGCACTAATTTTGTAGTAAACATCTTGCAAGTTTCTTGACAAATTTAACATTCGAATTATATAGTTCCTCTTTCTTATGGTGCTTTTATTTTGTCCAAATTGGTAACATGCTTCCACACAAGCTTATTACCAATTAAGCTTGAATCATTATCAACTAGGTCCATAATTAATCATTATAGATTGCACAACAACAACAAGAACATCAAAACTTTTCATTGTGTTATGTTAAGAGTCAAATTCTCATTTGAATTTAATAAAAAAAGTCATTTCTAATATTTTATAACCAAGTTTTTTTAGTTCTACTTCTATCTTTCTTAACATAAGTCAAATCTAATATGTCAACTTTCTTAACAGAGTCATTAGAAGGCCGACGTTTTATGTGTCTAAAGTCTAAACCATCTAAGGCGACTCTCTCTAATCTTATCTTCCTCTGGAGCTACTCTAATCTTTTCATATATTCTTGTTTCACATTCTATCTCTAAGCGTAAAGCCACTCATTCACCTAAGCATCTTCATCTCTGCAGTACTTAAACTTAATCTTATGGTTCTCTTTTAATGGCCAACATTCATCGCCATAAAACATTGCTTGTCTCACCACCATCTTATAGAAATTTCCCTTAAGCTTGAGGGGAAATCATTATAGATGGTAATGGGAAATGAATATTACATATTAAAAAAGTAATAGCTTTTTTTAGGAAGGCTAAGACATTAAGATTTGAGGCAAATTAAAGATAAAATGCTTTCCTTTGAGTGGAATTGGTTGACAAAAAAAATTTCAAAGAAGCGTGGATACAAAAATTAGGGTTAGAGATAGGACGTTAAAATCATACCTGAAGCATAAAGTAAAGCGATGAAGAACTGTTGAGTGAGATTATAAAAATATTTCAGTGAAGTCTTTGATGGTGCTATAGTGGGGATAGAAAGTACAACAAAAATAGAGTGTCGATCGAAGAAGTAATAGCCACAAACATGGAGGAGCATGATTTAAATATTCTTATACACATGTAAGATGGAAAACCAAGCAAAAATGGAGAGAGAAAATAAGAGTCAAACTTGAATGTGAAGATAATGAAGAGATAAAGATTGATATGGCACCAAAGAGGAAATAAGAGTATGCAAGAATTGAATCAACTACAAATTGATGTAAGAAACAAGATTTTAGGAGGCTCGAATATCTAACCCATCTGCTATATATAGTCGATGCATGTTTCAACTGTGTTGGGGCATCTTGTCAAAATTTACCTCTGATTTTTGGGGAAAAAAATTGAAAACACATGTTTGATCATTCCGGACATATGACATGACATGTAGGAGGCATTTTCTTCTCCATGTTTGACACAAACGTAGAAAAGTTTTTGAAGTATAAATTATTCATCAAATTGTCCAATTCCAATTCTTGCTTGAACCATTTCTCAAATGTATTTTAATCTATCCCCAGTCGTCAGGACCAACTTCATTCAAACTTATAATATACAAGAGAAAATAAGATGTGTTATTATGATTGGATGATTATCCAGATTGCCCTAATGGTTATTATTATTGAGATCACGCATTATATTATGTTTAGGCGCCCCCCCCCCCCCCCCC